TATCAACAAACTCAGTAACAATTAACTTGGATTCAAAGGAGAAGAAAGGGAAGATTCACACAGAAGACTTCAAGAACTGTGAGGTACATAAATCTCTAATAATGATGCCTAGCTTACAAATAGAATCAGTAACCTGGAAAAGGCATTTAATATTTATATTGTACTTGAATTTCAGCAGCTCCAAGCCAAATACTTATGCTGAACAGAGAGGAGTGAATCAGCTTTTCTCTTTGCTTCTGTAGTCACAAAACCATTCTAAAGATGCACTTTAAGTAAAAGAGAAAGCAATTCTTTAAATAGCAAATGTCTGCAGGTATTCTGGACTGAGTAAGCTGTTAAAAGTAATTGAAAAGACTCAGTTGGATCATTACTAAACCAAAGCAGCATACCATTCTCTTCTTACATGCAAGTATTAGACAGCAATAGTACATTACAAAATAATTGAAACTTCCAAATACCTAACTTCACCCTCTCAAAATATTGCACGTATGTCTTTAACAAGTTCAGAATACTCTGAGTTTAGAAAGAAGAAATAATTGTCACAGATTGTGGTGAGGGGAAAAACAGTTTTCTCCCTAAAGTTATAAAATGGTAAACCCCCAGGGGGTGGTTACCCTTGGGGGTTGAACCAATGAGTGCTTCTGCAAAATATAAACATATCGCCAGACCGCAAAAGAAGGGTAATTGTAGTTGTTGTTGGAGAGGTGGCCATGTTCTGAGGCCACGAGAAGGGGCCCCCAGCCCCACTGGGGGCTGAGTGCCCCCAGACCCGGCTGGGGGGCTACAGGGACTTGGAACAGTGTTAGACTGGACTAAGCATCTGTAGCTGAGAAGCTGGAAGTTTTTCTCCTCCACCGGAGCAGCGGCAGAGGCAGCAGCATACAGAAGACAGTGGCAGAGAGCCAAGAGATAAAGAGAGAAGCAGCAGAGACAGTATGCAGCCAAGGAAGACACAGAGTTGTCTGAGAGAGAGAGCCAGCAGCAGAGAGAGAACTAAACTCTACAGAGAGAGAGAGAGAGTTTGGGTAAGAACTGAAACAAACTCCCCAAACCCCTCTGAGACCTCCTAGAGAGGAGGATGATGATGGACTCCTACTTGAGAAGAGTCTTAGAGTGCTACAGCACCGAAAAGAAAGGAGCAGAGAAGCTCAAGGCATCCCGGAGCTGGACCGGGAAGGCCAAAGGAATGCAGAGGAGGGTTTTGCCCCCCCGCTGCCTTGAGACAGAGCACAGAAGCTCTGTAAGGGAATTTGAATCCCCTGAGGATAAGGACCGTCACGAAGGCTCCTGTACTTCATTGATATGACGTGGTGAAGCAACTTTTGTCCTGGTAAACGCAGCCCACGGAAGAGAAGACCCTCGCTTGGAGTCAAAGGGCCGAGAGGAGCTTAGATACCCCCCTCGTGTGTACTGGCAGAGATCCAGCTACAGCTGCTGCATGAAAGAAGAGAGCCTGCTGCCCTAGAGACACTTCCAAGTGGAAAGGATCTCTTCCTTCTTCCCTCCTCGACTTTTATTTGGAGAGAGAAGAGATTTGATCCATTGTAAATACTGTTTTATCATGGTAGAGATAGTTGAGATTTTGTGTGTAATGTGTTATAATATTCATTTGTACAGAGTACAGTCATTGTAATATAATCCTTTCTCCCCATTTTGAGTCTCATGTGTTGTCTGGAAAACCCATCTCACACTGGGCTGAGATGTAGGAGGGGGGCTTGGACTCGAGAATTAGATTTTGGGGCTCTCAAACCATGACACAGATGAAAGCTGTCAGAAAAATTCAGTCTTCACACTTCAATTAACTTTACAATAAAAACTCAATTCCTTAAAATTTCATCCATAAACCAAGACATTTACTGTGGAAAAACAGATTACGTTGATGTTAATGAAAGCCATCCCATCTGAGCCATCACTTCATTTCTGTATATCTGACTCTTAATAAACCTTCTTAACTAATTTTGTAAATATGTAGGACTTGCTTTTGCTTTCATTTGGCTTGAAATAAATCAAGTAACTTCCTAACACAGGACAGAACTGTTCTAGAAGTCTGATTATTGTAAAAAATCCAGATACTGAGACATCGACATTCTTCAGCAGCACAGATCGTTGACCCTGAGTATCCAGAGGAAAGCAAGGAATCTTATTTTCTGGGGCAGTTTAGGACTACTTAATTGCAGGAAACTGTGTAGCAAACGCACCTTCTAGTGAAAACCAGTAACCAGAAAGTCTCTCCATCACAAACCAGGGCAGATGGGTCACACTTGGGTGCCTGCAGAGCTGGGGAGTTCAGCACATCATGTAACTGTGCTATTGGAACTGGAGGTGTGCAGACCAGACTACAAGTATGATACCTTCTAAATAAAACCCCAACCCCACCAATTCACCATCCTTGAAATGGGTTGAGTCCCCAACCTTTACAACAGTGAAATGGCAGTGTTTTTGTCCGTTTTACTGTAACATACAATTTTGTGCTGAAATTCCACTACTCAAACAATCACAGAAATTAGCACTCATCTTATAGATCAGTCAGCACTTGCAATCAGTACTCATATCTATGTATATATGTATACTCATACGTATATAGTTGTGACTATAGATATTGGTTTCAGTAACTTATTCAGGGTTTGAAAGGAAGAAGGATTGATTTACAAAGGAGCGTGAAGAGATGGTTCAGAACAGAAACAACAAAAAATAAAAAAAATTTAGAGATTTTTCAAAGCAACTATAAAAGCCCCTACTCAATATCATGCAAGGCATGATCCCAGCACAATTTAACATACACAAGATCAGTAGCCACTGTTGTTTTTCCTTGTCCTGTTTGGCTGCCTGGGAACAAGATCAGACAGGTGATACATGCACAATTGTTCTGTTCACAATGCAGCTCCACAGCTGCTCCCACTAAAAAACAGAGATGGCTTAACGGAAATGTGAGCTTTTTACCTCACTCTTAATAAAGAGAAGGAACATGAAACCTACATAATGTTATACAGAAAGGGGTATAATCTTAACTCTGGTTCTCTAGATTTTCTCTCCCTCTGGCTCCCCAAACAATGAACACAATTGAGCTTTTGGTACTAAACATCTGTTCCCCTAAAATCACATTGCAGTTGTTAATTGCAATTAAAGAGGGTGAGCTGTATCACTCTCAGCTGTTTACCTTATGAGCTGTAACTTTCTTTCGTATGGGCTTAGTAGAATGCTGTACTTAAATTTACAGACAGCTATAGAGAGCTCACTAAGACAAACAGAAAGCAAATCTAGAATTAAAACTGAAAAAGATGCAAGAAACTTTCTGAAAAAGTTATTTCCTAACTACTCTTAGATGAAAACTTCTAAACGTAATTAAAACTGAACTCAGGTGATGTTCATGGGAACTCCTGTGTTTAAATCCATTCTCTTCTAGCATAAGCAGACATGGCAACTCCCTTTATAAATGACTGAGTTACACTGTAAAAGATGTTACATTTTCTGTTTGTATTCTAATAGCTGTATTGGTTAGAAACCTTACCCTGATTTTCAGCATATGTCACTTCTACTCACTTCATATGTTGACAATGTCCTCAAAGGTAAATGGTTGTTTTCTCTCTCATTAAAGTTTAAGTTACTAACATATTTACAGGAAGCAACCATATGCTCCCTCAATCTTTATTTTTATGGAATTAGCCAGTCAGCTTTTCCTGCATGACAGGTTCATATTTCTGCATCTGTCATATTTTGAGGAATGTCCTTCTGAGAAGTTACCTTCTCGTAACACATTTCACTGAGACTGCACGACAGAACACAGCCCTGAATTTAGCATCCTGAGCAGCACTTTATTATTATGTTTTGACCAGCTGTGTCAAGTTATGCTTCTTTTCCACTTAGTAAATTCCTGCTACCCAGTAGGTTCTTGCTCTGTCTCCTTTATCATCCTCATCAAAACCTGAAGCTGAGTTCTTCCTTAATTTTGGGGCCATAAAAAAAACACTTTAACTTCTACCTGATTCTATTACTCGGTGGTAGCTTTTTTCTTTTTCTTAACAAAGCTAAAGAACATTTAGGTATTTACTGCATACCTCTTAAAAGATTTCTACCTATTCTGAAATTTAAACTGTATCTTCAAATATCAATATAACTTAGCTTTTTCAGGCCCCACCCTATAAACTACCTCCCTAAGATCCTTCTCATATTGATTTTCTCTACTTTACTCCAGTATTTTCTGTTAATTTTATTAAAATACATACTTTGAATTGAGAGTCCCAGATGTAGAATAGTTCTGTTCATCACTAAATTAAACCTAGAATGAATCAATATCTGCCTCTTAGGCTGGGGTTCCTTTTTCTGACCAGTTCTTTCACTGAATTCTTACTAATTTTCAAAACAACACCACGTTTGGTGTCAACAAAGCAAAACAATGATGTGGGCAGTTACATTGAACTTTAATGCACACATACAGTATTCTTAATATTTGCTCTCAATTTTTTATCTGGGTAGGTGTAACACAAAATGCAAGATTTAAACTTCTTATAATATTGCAAAGCAGTCTATAAGCATGTTTCCAGCATTATCCAGAAAGAACACTTACTATCCTCTCCCAAAGTAATGTCCTTTTGTAATCTACTTCTGAGTTAGCAGTACAGCATGAAATAGCTCATCATTCTGCAGTGATTTGTTTCTTTAGTCTACCACAACATGAATAAACACCACCACCTCTGATCCTACCTTCCTTGAACAGCAACATGACAGATCCCTGTTCTTGCCCCTTCCAGCATCAGTCCTAACCCATTCTAACTTCTGTTTCTTAAATAATCTCTAACAAGAGAGTTACCCACACAAATGCAGATATTGTGTGTAAAATGGTTCATGCATAGAAGCACTACATTCTGCTGGATAAAGGTACTTTTTTTGCATGTAAAAGTGGATGAACACAGAGAACACCAACTGCTACTTCTTCCATCAGACACTTCTGCCTTGCTGAGTTAAAACTGCAATACACTGTTATCCTCTCCTTTGGGCCTCACCTTTAGGGTCAGCCTTACTGTGTTACACTCCTGCAGAGGGTTCAGCTTCAGGGTTTCTCCCAAGTTACTGCAGCCTGATGTCTGGTGCTGCATTTCACAGCAAACACAGACACCGTCACTGTCGAATTTAATCTGTGGAGAAAAAAAAAAGGTCAGAAAAAGTATAAATCAAGGGAAACACACATCCCAAATCATGTATTTGCAGTTACAGTGACAGTGATGACTAATAAATGCAAAATAAAAATATCTATGCAGAAATCTTGGAGCAGAATATTTTCCGTTAGTTAATATAAGGTATAAAACAAGGTAAAATACAGAAAGAGGACACAATAGCAAAGAGTGCTACCTTGCATGACTCATTTTGAAAAAAATTTGCTTTCCAATGGCAGTTGAAACCAGAGTAACTGAACTGAATAAACACAGAATCATACCCAATGGGGAAAACCAAAAAATAACAGAAAGAGGTCAGAAAACATATGAAGGAGTCACCAATCAGTTCTTTATTTCTCAAAGTAAAGAAGTACAGTGGCTGGGTGGTAGGAGATCTGAATCACTCTTTTACATTAAAAAAAATTAAGATTTACAGATACAAAGCCACAAAAAAATTTTATAATGCAAATACGTGTTTACTATTTTAAATTCAAATTCTCCCTAAGATGTTGCCAGTTTCCTGAACAAAGACGGGTAGCAGCATTCCTTGTAGAATTACCTTGCATAGCCAGATACCTACAATCATTTCAACAGAGTATTTACTTACTGCTTAAGCAGAGCAGTAAGTACTTACTGCTTAAGACCTCAATAAATGTTTAAATTGTTCCTATGATCTTAAAAGTTACGTATTTAATTATATGTAGTTTTAATGCCACCCCTATCAGGCTTATCTAATACTCTCTCCTTACATGCTGGTCACCAGGACACATGGAAGAGCAAAAATAAGAGTCAATTGAAAACCACAATAAACTTTTGCAGATGAGGTGCAAATGTTTGCCGTGTACTGGGAGGAAGCATGCTCACAGCAGGATGCTGTCTCAGGGGACTTCAATGCCTGAGACTCCAGATTGCCCTCTACCCAGTACAATTTGTAAAAGGCTTTTAAAAAACCTAGGTATGTAAATGACACCATTTCCCATATTCTCAAAGGCAGCACTGGAAATCATTGTCTATGGCAGCTCACAGAAACTGGTCATACTCTATGCCATAGACACTGCAAAAGAAATAAAGAAAAAATACACTGTGCACCTCTATGATAGCTGTGGGGTTTATTTCTAATTAACATACAATTTAATTCACAAAGCTGTTTTAACAATTTCAGACTGGGGTTTTATCTTCAACTCCTGTAATCTTTAATACTTTCTTTTAAAAAGTGAGACATCTGGAGAAAACCCAAGTACATGGTTTACGATCACATGACCTCAGCTCCTCAAGTCAAACCAGTAAATGTCAGTGGGGAGGTCTTGCTCCCAAACCTCTCCTGAAATGGTTCTGCTGTCAGATAAATGCTACTGATGAAGTTTGACACTGAAGCCTGTATTGATTTGCTCTGGCAAGCTTCAGCTGCAAAAAAGTTTTTATAATGAGGAATATGGGCAAAGCTTTCTATTGCAAGATCATCTATTCTGATTCATGCTGTCCCTGCTCAATGAAGGACAGTCACTGACTCATGGTGGTATGTACTTGACACTTCTAATATGAAATACAGATCTTAGGTCTACTTTTATCACACGTAATGAACACGTGTCACAGAAATAAGGCTAAAAAGGCTCAGTCAAGATTCCCCATTTATGAGACATTCTCAATTCATTCAGAAAGCTGTGCCATAACTTTGTACTGCCCAGTAACTCTCCTTTTAATTTAATTCTTAAAATTACTTAAAAGCTAATTGTTTAAGTGAAAGTTCCTGCAAAACACAGGGACAATCTTAAGAATCACAGCATATTCAAAACCACTTAAGATTCACAACCAGACTGGAAGCATACTATTTTTGGAGGTTTTAACTTGCCCTATCACACACTTTTTCCTTCCAATGTTCCTGAAGTGACATCTTTGTGAGTTGTGTTTTTGTAACAGGGAGCAGGACAAGAGGTTGAACGTGTCATTGCATATGTGACCTCAACAACACAGCCCCTGAGAGCACTTCTGAGCCCCCATGCTCCACGATGCTCATCCCTGCTCCATGATGCTCATCCCTGCCCCACTGCTGTCTCACACTTGCACAGGCAAGATCAAGAGTTCATACAGCTATTCTGTGCCCTAAACAGGGTCAAAATTAATACGGGGTTTGTTTTTTTTTTTTTTCTTCTAGGGAGGAGGGGGAAGAAGTAATTTATTTTTAGTCCAGATCAGACCTCAAATGCCATTCACTATGTGGCTTCATAAACAGAGACAGCAGCACTAACAGTAAAGCTGCATTGGAACAAGGGAGGAGTTGGGAATACTTGTTCCAGCTGCTGGGCTGGTGTTTGCCAACCTCAGACACAATTACATCAGCAGTGCCTCCAAAGCTGTCTGTGTTTAAATCTCTATTTGGTTGGCAGGGCTCAAGAATAAAGCATGATTCACTTCATCCCCTGCCCAAACCCCTATCATCCTGCATATATTTGAGTTCCACACTGTGAGTCTTACTCATGCTAGTGAGCACAGTCAGTAATCATAGTAGAGTTTGGGTACTTTCATATTTATGACAGTTGCAAAGTACACTCTCATCCAACCCACGGTTAAGATTTCAAACATCAGCCTGAGCTACCTATATGCATAAACTGTCTTTTAAGTTTATTCTGTCTTGCCAAAAAACAGTACTGTTACTTCTAAAGTGATAAAACTCATTACAATCTGACTTCTATGTAGCAGAGGATCAAAAAAACGAAAGGACGCTCTAGATTCATTACAAATACCTACACACACATTCATCAAATTCTGTCAAGGCATTAGAGGTGCCTTACAAAGAAGAAATGACTCTGAGTGTGCATACACTTCACCAAAAGGTTAAGGTAGGGAGCAATTAACAGTGTTATGTCACATTCTACCATTTCCCTATTACAAATGCAAATCAAGTCTTCCAGTAAAGGTAGTAATAGATTTTACTTTTTCTCAGTTTAGGGTTTTTTATAGGGAACATAAAAGGAAGGAAAATTTCAAAATAAAATATAAAAATTCCAAAGTTGATAACAAGGCAGTGAAGTACAAGAAAGCCTCACTGGTGTGCTTATGGGAAGGAACTTCAGTGAATTAGAGTAACTTATGCAAAGAGAAAGAATTGGAAAATCCAGTAAGGAATAAAGTTGCATGGTAGGGAAATATCAAGATTAAAAACTGACATACAAATAAGAACAAAAAAAAGTATATATTTTTTCCTGGAATTCTAAAACTTGGTTTTCAATATGCACAGACCTGAATGCAGGTACAACACAAAACGGAACACAAAGAAATCTCTGCACCTGGGCAGTGCCATTCACCTCTACGCGAACTTGCCCTTGGTCTGCTTTTCCTTGCTTTGTCTATTCCAGCTACAGATAATTGAGGGAAAAAAGAGTCTTCCTTTATATGTTACTATAACCACTGGCCAATTTCAGCTGTACAAACAAAAAAAAATTTATAAGCAAACTTTTTATACAGAGCTTAACTCTATCACTACTTTTCTGAGTAATAACCAGCTGTATATTTGATTAAAACTACAGCATTTATTTTTAAACAAATAAGTGACTTACAAGATGAAGAAATAAAACATATTCTATCTTGTGCAGTAATAGAATATAAATTAAAATATATTAATTGCTCTAGCCATATATGTTAAGCACAAATTTTAGAGATCAATTACTTGAAAAAGAAATTCCCACACAGGAATGTTTCTGATACACACAGTAATGAACAGTTTGAGTGTATAACTGCTCTGTACACATCCTACTATCAGGGACTTAAATCAGTATCTTGAGGTTATGGCTGCAGGATATGCAGCTAATCACGGGGAAAAAATTCCAATTAATTTCTCTTAACAAGCCATTAAAGCTACTGGCATTTTTTTGTTCCTCAGTGTTGTATGTTGCTAAGCTGCAGGATAAAGAGCACAAACACTGACTTCACAAATTACACATTCAAAATGCTAACATATGGTGAACACATTTCTCATATTCACACAAAAATATACATTATGGAATGTACAATAAATCCCCAGTGTTTAAAGCAAAATAAGACCATTGTGCCCTGTTCTTTTTCTTCAAATAACTACTCTATGTGTGAAATGCTGCTGAATTTAAACTCCACAATACAGTAGGTACTATTATAATTTTTAAAGCCACACATCAACATGAATGAGTTTGACAGAAATACCACAACTAAAACAGAATTTACTTTGAGTTTGACTGTTTCACTATACTGTGCTTGGAAATTTACTGTTGCAGTTATATGGGATGTTGACTACATCTCAAAGCACATGTCTGCAAAAGCTGAGTTTTCACTCCTAGAGCTGCACCACCGTACAGTACATTTGTATCCTAGAAGGCAACCAGAGGATTTAGATTTGATAATGTACAACCAGTCACACAGTGAGGGAATGCACAGACCTACAACACTAAAGTGAGCCAGCTAAGGCATTAAAATTAAATATACACTTAGAACAAGTTGTTAAGAAACTGGGATTTTTAAAGTGATAAAAGGTAATAAAGCAATGAGATATGTTCGCCATAACATATCACCAGCTTCTGAGTCACACCCTGCACCTGCTCATAAAGCAGTGCTGCTCACTGCAGAGCATCCCTCTCAGCAGGTGGGCTATGAGAACAGAACTCTAGAATTTCATATATATGAGCATTTCAACATGGCAATATTTACATGCAAGTCCCCAAAGTGACTGAAATGTGATTTTGAGAAAGGAAAACCTAAAAATAAGGAAAACCTAAAAATAAGGAAAACCTAAAAATAAGGTCTGGGCAGAAGAAACTGTATTTTTTTTGATACAGTTATGATAAACAGCCACAATGAAATTAAATTGCCCTTACATAGTATAACACACTGTGGCAAAGCCAGTTAGTATCTCAGCATGCTCTGAAAATTGAAACTACAGTTTGAACCCTTGTTTTATCTTCTTTAGCCAGATCAATGTTTCAGTAGTCCAGAGGAAAATCTGCACATTCCATCTGCAGTAGGAAGGGAAAGGCCAGGGAAATACAAATGAAATGTAACTGTTTCCTTTTAATTTATGAGCCAAGTACACCGGTTTTGAGCTATTGAGCAAGGAAGAAGTAAATACATGTTTCCAAAATCCCAGTGTTCCTTCCTGTTTCTCTTTAGGGTTTTGATACAATCCTACATGAGAGATGTGGCAAGAAGCACTGCTTAAGAACGTGGAAAACCAACCAGCAGAGCATGATGTCTAGACACAAGACTAAGCTATTCATCACAGTGACACTCCAGGTCAAAATACCGCGTTTGAAAATTATAGCATGTAGGTCCCAAAATACAGTTACATAGTTGCATTACATAGTCAGGAAAGCATTCATTTTGAGAGGTTATTTATTCCTTCTTCCACACAGATACAAGGCTTTTTTGGTAAGTCTTCATGGGAAGTTCTGATACAAATGTAGCCCCTCAAAGTACTTCTAAATAGTCCTAATATCAAAGCAAGGATCTCAATACAAATTTGTAAAACTCACTTCAAAGGTTTTCCACAAAAAAATACCTATGACAACTCTTTTTTAATGAAAAAAAAAAGAGACCAAAAAACCCCCAACAAACCCCTCAAAATAAAAACTATTTTTCCATCACTCTGCAATGTGCAGCACACATCTTACAGCAGAGCTCCAGGTTCCACCAGTTGATTTCTCCATAGGCTATAAAGCCTTTACTCCAATCACAGCTGGAAAACTCAGACATTGTGCAAATGTCTGCAGAACATTCTTAGCAGAACAATTCCCAGCAGAGCAGCCAAGCTCCTCCTGCCTGGCTCAGGGAGCTGCACATGCAGCCCTAACACAGGAGGAGCCACAGTAACGTGGACCACGAGCTTCCAAGCTGACTAAAGAAGGGGAAGGCATGGGACAGGTTACACCCAAATGGTGTTCTGTGTCACGTGCCTTTTGAAATATTTCCTAAAACATTTTGTATTATTTGAACTCAGTTTTACTAAACATATTGTGTCCAAACAGAACAAAGGAATCAAACAATGACTTAAGAGGTGCACGAGCATTTCATGGAGTCATCTGTTGGCATTAAATGGAAAATGTCTTTTTTCTTTAACATTTAGATCAATGTCTTGGGGTGCATATGTGTATGTCTTTCTAATTTTTAATGAGTCCTGTGAGTGCAGGATTTAAACAGATTGATTGGTCTGTTAACAGATTATAATAAAAATAGCACTGGTGCACATTTATAAACATTCTCCAATCCATTTATCAATTTTATAATTCAACGTCATTTGTTTCCTGAAGTTGGAGGGGTGTATAATTGTTTTATTATTTACTTTACATCAAGGATTTCAGTAATGAGTTTACTTCTGTAGACATCTTTGTAAGTTTGAATGATAAAATACGTTGGAGTTCAAAGTATATGTACTTTTTTCCTGAGATCAAAACATAAAGGCTCTAGGTAAACTGTAACTTTTAGTAACTTAGACCATAGCATGCCACATCATGATAATTTGTATTACTCTGTATTTTATTTAATAAAAATAACATACATTTACTTTGGAAATTGAAAAAAAAGATTAATTTAGGTTGGCAAATAAAATATTAGCATACACACATCAGAACATTACTATTAGTGCATCTGTGAAATACAGTGCCTCTACAAGGAGCTATTGGATGAAATCCTGATACTGCTGACACCAAATGGTAATCACTGCATTGCTCTGATGTGCCCTGTATTCCACCTATTTGCTGAAGCACTATTGTTACCATGACATTAAGAAGCAAGCATTTCTAATACTAAAACTTATTTTTTGAGGTGACAAAGCACTTCAACCCTCAAGCTTTTCTCAAAATGATTTTTCCTGTTGTAATACCTATAGATTGCTCTACTAAATGTTCAGGAAGTCAAAGGAATATGTGCATAAAACCCTAACAAAATGCAAAATAAAATCCTTGCCCTTTGTAAGAGACTTGTTTTTCATTACTCACCAGCTGACAGCCTTCCAGGGACCTCACCAGCTGAGCGTTCTGGCAGGAGAGGATGGAGCCGGCCAAGTTCAGCATGACACACACTGCAGACAGCAGCATGAAAAAGGTGATCTGGGAAAAAACCAAGCAGTCCATTATTATTCACTGCTAGAGGCAAATAAGGAAAAATATAATTTAGATGTTCAAGAACTTCCAGCCTGTCGTACAATTATATGGATGGCAACATGTTATATAATTTAGAATAGGGTATTTAATCTCACAACATCTTCAGTCTCGCACTATAGGAGAAAACTAAATCAAAACTAAGCTTGACTATCATATGCTTTTCTTCCAGCCATTTCAAAGTAATCCACTTATCTCCCACTTTTATAACACACTCTGAAAATTTAATGGGTATTATTAATGAGCATTGCTAAAATATAGGAATTGAAAAAGTTGTTTGTTTTTTTTTTAAACAGAAGTAATCTTGAAACAATTTAAATCCCTTTTGATGAGGATATGGGTATCCTAGACAGGAAAAGTATTTGTCAATATCACATATCATGAGTTCCAACAAGTTAGGGGAAAAAGGTGAATAAAATTCTGGATACATATAATTACTTGGTATTTAAACAACAATTACAATTTATGCAGCATCTTCCATATTAAATGATCAACATAACTGGTCTACTCTGGCCTCAAACCAGGAGGTCTGGAGACACACCATCTACAACGCTGCTGATGCCTTTGAGAACACACGCAGGATCACTCTCGAGGGGAAAAGACAACACAGAAAGAATTGTGCCCTGCAGAATTTACCACCTAAGGACTCTTTCTGCTGTGCCTTTTGCAACTGGACATGCCTGTCTCATATTGGCCTTTTTAGCCACCAACGCACTTGCAACAGACGTGGGCAGAGCCCTTCCCAAATCTTCGTTCGCGAAGCCCGGCCATGATGATGACAATTTACGCAGTATCTTCCATATTAATTACCCATTGTGTTAATTACTCCTTTTGCCTCACTTCAAAATATGTCAAAACATGTCAAAACAATAATTAACTCAATTCCATCAGCTTAATTACAATTTTATTGCTTTAAATATAAAAAACCTGGCCCAGTGTGGGCAGACAGAAATCTATGTAGGGAATGGGAATGGCACAAGCAATAAGAGGCCAAGAATAAACATGTGCCCAGTGTGTGGCCACCTTAAATATTCAGTGTTGACACTGCCATAACTCAGTGGGAGCAGGAGTGTATTATCTGAAATTAGTAAGAAATTCTGTTGCATCTTTTTCCATATGCATGGCCAGAGTCTACAACCCTTCACTGTTCTCACAAGATGTTATCTTGTGTCAATGCACGTGCTATGAGTATTTTTTGCAACCTTGCATCCAAAATGGTTGTTGGGGGGTTTTTTTAGCGTTTTCAGGCAAAAAACCCCACCCTGTAACCTCCACAGTATTAACCAAAAGACAAGAATTTGTTTTAAAAAATTTAAGTTGCCAGCTTCAGATTCTTCCAAGCATCACATCTGACAACAAGGGCTGCAACCTACATCAGGTTCATCTATCTGCAGTACTTTCTCCATATCAGCATTCACTAATGAAGAAACCTCTGCTAGAGTTTCCAAGGTAACCTCTTCCTCTTGCCACTGGCAAAGACAAGAGAGAAGAACCCAGCACTGCCAAAATCACGTAACAGGCTCTTACAACTCCTGCTCTTCTCAGTGGGTCTAAGTATTATGTTCTCTGTAGAAGTTGCATTTAAGGGTGGCAGCCACCACGTGGTCCCATATCAAACACTGAAGTTCTCTCTCACACTTGTCTTCCCAATTTGATTGGTTTACGTTTCACTTCTCAGTGTCTCAGGCAAGGAACTTCCTAAGCTGGGCACGGAGTTAGAAGGGAAAACTCAGTTCCTTTGCAAGTCTGTTGTAACTACCTTGCCTTTTGCAGAGCACAAAGATCCTAATAAAAGTAACTGAAGTATTTCCAATCTCCTTCCTTAATGCTTCTCAGCTAAATACCAAAAAAGCCTTGTACTGATGGCCTAGGGCAGACTTGTACCACTGTTATCACAACTTGACACATTACCACCACGTTGGAAGCCACAACAGAGAAAAGGAGGCATAAAAGTATCAATTACCACATTAACAAGCATTAAACAATATCTTCAGTGTGCTTAATGTTTTTATCACAAATCACTCTTTTCTAACACTGGTACATGTACGCAGTAAAAACCAATGTATCTGCAACCTTGTGAAAGAGTGGTCATTGTGGATTGTGACACTATGAAATGCCATAGATGAAGTTAGATATACATTATTCATGAAGTCAATTTATCTAAGTTCCACATTAAAATTTTCCTCACAAAGCAAGCTACGAAATGTTTGCTCTGAGAGCTCGGTGCAACATCCTGGCAGGAGTAGCACGGAATTATTAGGAAAGAGTGTGTGATGCAGTTAACCCAGTGATCAAGGGAAAAAAATTACGCTGAAGAAAACACAGTGTGTCAGATACTGAAGGGCTATGACATCTTAATGCTGTTTTAACACTACAGTATGTTTTCCACCTTTCTAGTTAAACACATAAGCAAGTTAAAATATTCCTAGAATTCAGGAAGATGCATCAATATCACTAAGCTCTCAAAGCCACCAAGAATTACTACACGAACAAAAAGTGAAACCAATTGATTTATTATGACATGGTCTTAGCAGAACTAACTGGAGAAGTCACAGCTGATATTCTACACAAAGTACTCTATAGAAGAAATGTTAACGGACTTCCTACTTAAATGTTACCATAGTCCTAAACTAATTCTACAAAACTAATTAGCTCTGCTCAGATGCAATTATTTAAAATGAAGTAACAACTCATAATTTGAGGTGTCATCTCACACCTGTAATTATAAACTAGTTAATTCTCTTCATGACCCTAATCTGCTGCTTCTATTTCATTGTTTCCATAATTCTGAGGTTCAGGTTACAAGAAAGAGGTTCTCCTGGCCTTCCCATAACTTCTGTCTTTACAAATAAAACTATTTAAAGTCTTCACATCGGCTCTCTACCAAAAGAGAAGAAAAATTCTAATGCAAAGGGGGGCTGAGGCTTAATGGAATATATTTGCTGTACTTCCAAACGACAGGGATGATGGACATCTGATTGCAGGAATACATGGCAACAGCAAACAACTTACCAGTTTCTATTTAATCCTCAATCACACAGTTTCTTAGAAGACATCTCTACATCCAACTCCAACTATTCTGTGGCTATATCCAAACATTGGATGTAGGTATCTTTCCCTGCTGTGCTGGAAGAGTTATACTTTCCAAAACTTTGGAGAAGAGTCGAAACAAATGTATAGTTCAATCAATTTCTCAACTGATTCCTCTCTGTTTCTTCTGAAAGCTGGCAGAATGTAGCAACAGAAAAAAGGCTGCACTGGCCCTGTGCTATGGCAGAAACTAAGGAAGGGCAGAGCCACACGAAGCTCCCCTTTTCACTCCATTTCTGAGAACTACTTTAATTATGTAGAGTATATCAAGAGTGAGTTTTCATCCTTGCAGTCCCAACATGCACACTGAAGAGACCGCACCACACAAATCTGCACAGAATGAAAAAATCAGTTCCCCCACGCTTTTACAAGGGACAGCTCAAAATAAGTGACCTTCTTTACTGAAAAAAAAATAAAGTAAGCCCTAATCCTAACAGGTTATCTTTCCACTATAACAGAAGTTATTTGTCGTTCTCTCTTTAGTAAAACTTGACTTTTTAGAAAATTATCAGTATTCTCAGATTATTTGTGAAAAATTTTCACTGCACATTTCTTAAATAGATATAACCATACACTTGCTGTCAGAATGTCCCAAAGTAGATAATCTTAAATTTATGGATGCCACCAAAAAAAATCAAAAGGATTTACAAAAGTTGATGTATTCTCCCCACCCATTCTTTTCCATCACTTTCATTTTTGTTTCTCACTATTGCTTTTTTCTTCACAGTTAGCCTCAAGTAATTTATTCTCTTTTGTATTTACAATTTTTTTATAACCTTTAGACTTCCTTTCATCTTATTTCCCAAAGGCACAGTTAAAATTGTATTACCTGAAAAACTGAAATCTTTAATCTTTACTCTTACTGTGTCTTTCACAATTTGTTCTTGAATTGTTAGGAGGTAAAAGGGGAAAAACAAAAGAACAACCAACTTTAGCAAACACTAGAGTTTGTGATTTGCAACAGAAAACATTAAAATTTTTGATTTCCTGTAAATATACAACTTTCTACCAAAATATGGAGTGAGAGCAGCCCTGAGAAGAAGGACTTGGGGATGCTGGAGAATAAGAAGCACAATATGACCCGGCAATGTGTGTTTGTAGCCCAGAAGCCAATCACGTCCTGGGCTACATCCCAAGCAGTGTGGGCAGCAGGTCGAGGGAGGGCATTCTGCCCCTCTACTCCACTCTCACAAGAGACCTGGAGAGCTGCATCCAGGTCTGGGCCCCCCCTCCCCCCAGGAAGGATGTGACCCTGATGGAGCAAGTCCAGAGGAGGCCACCGAGATGATCCCAGGGCTGGAGCACCACTGCTCTGGAGACAGGTGGGGAGAGCTGGGGCTGTTCAGACTGAAGAAGAGAAGACTCTGTGGGGACCTTTGAGCACGTTCCCGTGCCTAAAGGAGCCCCAAGAGAGCTGGAGAGGGACTTGGGGCAAGGGCATGTGGTGATAGGACAAGGAGGAATGGCTTCCAACTAGATATTAGGAAGAAATTCTTCCCTGGGAAGGTGGGGAGGCCCTGGCACAGGTTGCCCAGAGAAGCTGTGGTTGCCCCATCCCTGGAAGTGTCCAAGGCCAGGTTGGACGGGGCTTGGAGCAACCTGGGCTAGTGGAAGGTGTCCCTGCCCGTGGCAGGGGGTGGACCTACATGACCTTTAGGGTCCCTTCTAACCCATTCTATACTGTGATTCTATGAAGCTGTATATAAAAGCAAAAAACAGATTGCAGAAGCTACAGTGTGACAGTACTACTCTAAAGAAGTAAAAGATGGCACAATTTCTTATGCAAGAGGAGAAAAATTTAATAACCGGAGAATTTCAAATTTCATTACAATGATAATGTGCATCTCTGGTCTCTGTGT